TATTTTTATTAATTTTGATCACCAACAAGGTTACATTGTAAAATTAATAAGAAAAACTTACAAAAACGAACTTGTTAAATGCAAACTTAATTAAAGGTGAAAACAACATACATAATACATTAGGGACTAAAGCAACAGCAATCAGGAGTTAATTAGTGGTTAAATGTTCGCCTAATGTTAAAATTTTGGCATTATAGCATAAATAAATAAAAACTGTCAATAATTATTATAATATGGTGTAATTGCTCAAATGCTTGTTCATATTGGTGAGATTTGTCGAAGCATGTGGATTGGTATTTACGTAATGTTGCGGCCCTGCTCGCGCCTACTGATATTCTCATAGCAAAATCTACCTCTGCTGTAATTGCCACATAACTTTTGTCAGTCAATCCCAACTAATATTATAAATGCGAAAGTAACTCTGTCTGTCTGTCTGTCTGTTACGCTTTCCCGCTTAAACCTCGCAACCGATTTTGATGAAATTTGGCATAGAGATAGTTTGAGTCCCGGGAAAGAACATAGGATAGTTTTTATCCCGGTTTTTGAAACAGGGACGCGCGCGATAAAGTTTTTCTGTGACAGACAAAATTCCACGCGGGCGAAGCCGCGGGCGGAAAGCTAGTACTTTATATTGAGCCCTCTATCTATCTACGAGTTAACCACTGTGTAAATTCACTTGTCTTTTGAAATCCGATGGAAAAACATCAAAATTTTAACGTCTCAAGAATACAACGAAATAATGCTTTATAAAATTCCATCGCGTCTACAAGGGGCGAACGCGTAAACTAAGGAAAAATGGAAATAAACTACTACTGCATTACGGTTAAATAATGCTCTATTTGACATTAACAGATTAAGAGCAAATAACGGATATGACTAATATTGGAGTAGTGGTAGCCGTAATAATTGTATTTTTGTAACTTTCTGTTCTCAGTTAGCTACAACATTCAGTTCTCATTTAAATATTGGTAGGTAAGTATAGGTATTCACTAAATAATAAGCAAAATAATAGATTTTACCGAACGAAAACGTTATGTTTCGTGGAACAAAATGAGAACTACACTATCTACGGTTATAAATGCATTACTTTTCTTGTAGATTTTTATGTATTTTAAAAGTAACAGCATTGACTTAATACATTTTTTGGAATAGGTAAATTAGTACCTAAGTAAATACCAGCTTAACCTAACCTTCAAAATTATTGATGTAGTACCTACGCTGAATTAACTTCAATTTAGCTTCAGATTGTATAGAGGTAAGTAGTCATATACGAAACCACGGACGAAACATAATGTTTACTTAGTTTTAATAATTTGGCAGCACTAGATTATTTTCTACACAAAACAATATGAATATAAATTATTAGCCGTTTTCGCTTGACACTTGAAGCCAAATAAAACTGGTATTTTGGGATAAAAATCTGAAAAAAACCGAGTTTTATTTGGCTTCAAGTTTAATAGAAAATTGGTATTACAAAATGATGTGCGTATCGCGTTCGCGACGATCGGAAGGCAAATAAATAAATAATAAATTTATTTTCGTAACTTAGTCTATGTATAAAGATAGTTAGTGGTAGGAACTTCCCTTTAGGTTTGCCTAAACGCAGGCAATGTATTGACACGTCTTGACATTGCCTGTGTTAAAAATCTGTCAAACTACATACAAAAAACACCAGATAACATTATAGTTACGGTCAAAGTTAGGTGGTGCAACTCAGCCTAACAGTAACTGGCTAAACGCCTACAATTTTACTAAGGCAATGTTTCATAAATGAGTATGGCGAGTGACGTATGTGTGCAGGAGCCGTAACATTTAGTCCCAAACTAAGCAAAGCTTGTAGGACTATGGGTAAGTACTAGACAGCGAATATAAACATACTTAAATACTTTTTTTTTGTAAATACATACAAATTACCTATACCTAGGTACATAGTAACACCCAGACCAGTCACAGAAATTAAAATTCATCATTTCAATTTCTGCCTGACCGGGAATCGACCCCGGGACCTCTCGGCATAGTTGTCCTTTCTGAACTACTACACCAAACGACATTTATTTTTAGATAAATGGACTAGATTTTCCCTTGAGCTCTATAGAGCGATTATATTGAATACGATCTCACGTCTCATGTCAATTGAATGCTGGACACGGAAGAGCGTCCAAAAGCGATGGCCCCGACACGCCAGGCCCCGGCTCGCGGTCCAGTGCGACGGGTTAAGAATGCGCTTTCCGTGTTGTCGGGAAGTCGGTTTAACTATCCACTTGCTCACGGTTTGGACGACATGGCAGACATTTTAAAACTACCAATACGCACGTATTTAACACGCTTTTGCGTTTTATTGCAATTAAACTGTGCTTGTGACCACGGCTGTACCAAGACAGCGTTACATGACTTGTAGTGCATTAGAAATGTCGCGTTGAGACCAGTAGCCTTATTCACGTAACAAAACTTCAACGACAACAAATCTCTTGAGTTGCGATCCTATCGATAAATCGTTCAATCGAAATGACCCTTGTGAATACGGATTTAGAACTGTTTTTCAATGCGACGTCTTCTGAACATCAGCGAGATCTTGACTGTCTAAATACGTGAATTAGGTATCCGAATGTTACTCTAGGTTTCCCAATCCTACCACTATTACAAATGCGAAAAGTGAAGATGATTTATGTTTGTTACTTAAAAGTTTCATCAAAATCGTTCAGTACTTTCTGTTTCACGCAAAAAGTACTGAACGGATTTAGATGAAACAACGGTATTATAACGGAACTATTACAAACTGAATTTCACGCGGACGAAGCCATGGGCAAAAGTTAGTCTTTAATATTACTCGTAATAGTAATTTATTTTTTTCTTATCTGTTAATTAGGTATATTATTTTAAGCATGGTAAACCTAAACGTGTGTTTCTCTCGAAGCCTCCGCGTAGCTTGATTGCTATTCTAAATAAACACAGTTATTTCTATCTACATTAAGCCTAATTTAGTAAAAGCGTTGGTTCTTGTGCGCGACTATAATTATTCCAAAAGTTGAAGCCCGGGAGCGCCGCGGCAAAGCCTGCAAGTACCGACCGGAATTCAACAAGATTACGATTTTTCGTTCCCGGAAAAACCGGGATTAGAAATTTATTGCGGCACTGCAGCCCGGAACATGGATAAAAAAATGGTTCACGGGCGTTTTGGGGATGCGATTATTTAAATTACCTTACACCCAACGAAATGTTTGAGATAAAATATTTTGGCGTTAGGGTGTTTTATGAGCAGCCCTCGATCGCTTATTATGCGTAAAGGTGTGAGAAAATTCTAATTCTATCGATTCGGCGTTTATGAAACGAATAATAAATAATAACTTTATCCAAACAATAGTGATGTTAAAGTAAGTAGGTAGGTAGGTTATAAATTAATTTAGTGCATTGGTAGATGAGAGTGACAACTACCCTCCGCGCTAGTAATACAACTGTGTTGCGGCAAATGTTAAAAGGTCATCGTTAAATAAAAATATTATGTAGGTATTAATTATTAATCACATTGTAACACCTTTATTACTATTTTGGAAGCAATAAACGTATTGAGTATTGAGTATTATGATACATGAATCGTGTAAAACAAATCCCACCAAAAACATTCTGTAAAAAACTAGCCAAGTCTCGATGGAGCTGCTTGTTTATCTCTAAAAAGTAATGAAATCTAGACAAAGTCGTGCCAAGTCTATGGTTCCTTACTGCGATTTCTTTATTATTATAGTTAACTAGCTGACCCGGCGAACTTCGTACCGCCTTAGCGTAGAGATTTTCTTAATATTTTTTTCCGTAAGAACCATCCTTGGACTTCCACAAACATTTAAAAAAAAGAATTATCGAAATCGGTTCAGCCGTTCACACGTGATGCCGTGACAACGCGAAACGGGTTTCATTTTTATATATAGTTAATGTTGTGTGACTTGGCCGTTGAATCAAAAATTAACTATGAATCAAAAAACTGGGCCTAAGGCCCAGTTTTTTGATTCATAGTTAAAATAACAAATTGTTAAATTTTGCTACTAATGGTTAAATATTAACAAAATGTTAACAAATAGTTAAAAAATGTACTAAAAGTCAAGCTAACCATTGTTCGAAAAACATTTTTTTCTGATATTTAACCACTTGTCATTTGACATCTGTCAAATTTGACTATTGGTTATTTTAACTACGAATCAAAAAACCGGGCCTAAGTGAAACAATGAATAAGTATGGGTAGACTTAATATTACGAGGTTTCGATCTTCCCTTTCCCCAAATTTCTTATAAGTTATAATTATAATCATGGTATACCTAAGTGGTTTACACATAATTATTACAATAGAATTTTAACAGTTCTTGTGCCTTTAGATAGTAAAAAATGATTTTTACAGTGACATAATTTTATTAACTTTCTGTTTCTACGTGTGTACAAAAATTTCTTTATGTAATTTTTATTTACCTACCTCAAGACCGAAAACGTATATTATCATTGAGAGACACGGTTTGCGACTGCAATATTATTTATGAAGAAATAGTTCTTATTCTCCGGTACTATTCCTAACAGGGGCGTTGGTTGAATATATAATAAACTAGCTTTCCGCCCGCGGCTTCGCCCGCGTGGAATTTTGTCTGTCACAGAAAAACTTTATCGCGCGCGTCCCTGTTTCAAAAACCGGGATAAAAACTATCCTATGTTCTTTCCCGGGACTCAAACTATCTCTATGCCAAATTTCATCAAAATCGGTTGCGAGGTTTAAGCGGGAAAGCGTAACAGACAGACAGACAGACAGAGTTACTTTCGCATTTATAATATTAGTTGGGATAATTATAAAATGTGCAGTTTTTATCTCATCCGAAAAGGGAACTCTGCGGCCTCACGATCTGATGCATTATTATAATAAATTATCAGTTTTATAAATTACTAGCTTTCCGCCCGCGGCTTCGCCCGCGTGGAATTTTGTCTGTCACAGAAAAACTTTATCGCGCGCGTCCCTGTTTTGGTTGCAGGAGCGTAGTTCGGCGCGGGCGCCGCCGGCGGCAGTAGGCGGCATGAGGCGCGCGGCGCCCGCGCTCACCGTGGCGCTGCTCGCCGCGCTCGCCGCCGCGCCCCGCGCCGACCATCGCGCCGAGCCCCGCGCCGAGCGTCGCGCCGCCCGCGCGCCGCGCTCCGTCATCGAGGTGGAGGGCCCGGTGCCCACTGACACAGGTGTTATAGGTGAGTCAAACTATCCTAATATAATNCTCTGTCTGTCTGTCTTATTTTCACGCCTAAACCACTGAACCGATTTTGATGAAATGGCATAGAGATAGTTTGAGTCCCGGGAAAGGACATAGGATAGTTTTTATCCCGGTTTGGACGCGCGCGATAAAGTTTTTCTGTAACAGACCAAATTCCACGCGGGCGAAGCCGCGGGCGGAAAGCTAGTGTTCATATTATGACTGTGTTACTTTACATAGCATTTAAAAAAAAACAATAGGTAGGTAAGTTTGTTGTTACCCGACTGCGCCAAAAGGAGGGTTAATTATTATTAACATAAATGTTAAAATCCGTTGTTCATTTCAAGACATCAAACTAAAGTAGATGCAATAACGTATTATACTCGTACGCACTCGTACGTGTAGAAAGGAAAAATTTCTGAATCGGATTTTCGAAATGATCAATTGTTTTACAGTTTAAAATTGCCTGTACTCGTAGTAGGTAACTATTAATTAATAATAATTATCGTTGATTACGGTCATTACGTTATTTCAATCAATAGCAGATACATTACAGATAATTAACATGACCTTTGTACCATACCACTAGTTATAATACGATCCTTTCATAGTATACAATCGGTATTGTAGAAGTAAAATGGTATAATAATGGTAGAATACCTACATAAAACGATAATAAAACATGCAAACATACCTGGCATCACGAATGTCTGCTCTGGCTTATTCTCGATTTATTTCAGCTTCACAACGCTGCGCTACACTCTCCACTCCACAAATACTACTTGTACTTATCACTATTTAATACTGCACTTGAAATTATTATAAGAACATAATTAAAGCATGAAAGTTATTGACACGACGCGGCGCGGGCGCATTGTAAACGCGCGGGAAAAGACTGAACGTACGGCACAGACGCGCCGCGTCGCCCCGGCTGGCGCGACAAAAATCTCAGTCTACCCGCACTACATAAATAATCAACAAATGTACAGTCGGTAACCAATTGTTCGGACGTAATCGTAATTAATATTTGTTAAAGCAGAATTTCAATCTGATGTTAAAATTCAAAAGGGCATTACCAGCATTAAGCTCTTTACGGGGAATATCACTTGGTGGAAATCATGACGAAGGTTACATCACTCGGAACCTCAACCACAGAAGAACTGGGTATCTTACCTCCTCTTTTAATTATAAACTTTTCATTATTAAATTCATCATTGAGTAGAAGATCACGCTCAACCTGTATTTTTCTCAAAAGTTTGCTGGTCCGTGGAATGCGCGTCCCCTCCTCCAACCGCGATTTAACGCAATTAGTTAGTAATTAAACGCAATTAATGTGCCTTATTTTACACAATTTTTGTAAATAATAAATAAAACAAATTTTAAATATAGTTTGTTGTAGTTATAGATAGCTACCCTTCCAGTGACGTCATACCGCCAGCGGCAAACTTAGCGCGAACGGATAGTACCGAGCCTCGATGAAACGATAAAATTCACTAGCATCAGTACTCTAGGCTAAGCCTATAAACTTTCCGTGATTTGACACATGAAAAATGTCTACGCACGTTAGAGGGGCTCTTCAGATCATTCAAAATTATGACATCTTTTAGAGAAATCCACAAAACAGCGAGCGGCCCGGCCTCAGTAATGTGTTACAGTTTCCGTCCTTATTCCATCGGGGTAAGGTCAAAAAGTGTTTTCGTACTGCGCACCTGACTGTACTGGCACGGGCTCGTAAAAAACACATCAATCTCGGCGCGAGCGGTGATCAATCACCGGCCCCGCGCCCCCCGCCCCTCATCCGCCCGCGCCGCCGCGCTCCAACCCTTCCATCTTGACGCGCGAACAAACACCTCTGATAGTGCCGAGATCTTTTCGAGTTAGAAATTATAACTAGTCTTATTATTGTTCAAATAATTACTTGACTTGAGTAAGTAGGTACCTACCTACACTCTGTGAAAATCAAAACCATTATGCATGTTGCGGCGGCCCTACTCACGCCTATTTATATTCTAATAGCAAAATTTACCTCTACTGTAATTTCCACATAACTTTTGTCAGTCAATTAATTTAGATAACCACTGTATAAATTCACTTCTCTTTTGGATTCCGATCGAACTACATCAAAATTGTAACGTCTCAAGAATACAACAAAATACGCAGTTTCCGAGTAATCCGAGTTTAATTATTATAAAATTCCATCGCGTCTGCAAGGCTCGAACAAAGTAATTTGTTTCTGTAAATTGGAAAATAGATGTTCAAGATGGTTAGTAACTAGGTACCTACCTACTAGGTATCAAATCAAATCAAATCAAATCAAATTCGTTTATTTGTGGAACATAGGTAAATAACATATTACAGGTGTTAAAAATGAAGTCGGTATCACTATAAGGTATAAGGTAAGCTGTGATTCAAGGCTGAAAATATGACAGGCAAAAATTCGTTCTGCTTACAGCGGTTCGGGCTACAGTCATTCTATAATGTTACAATTAAAATCGTTTTCAGTCAGAATAACGTTCTTTTGAAATTGAATTGCGCAAGTAAGTAGGTACACTATGTGGAAAAATGACTGAGACGAAGAGCTAGATATTATCGCACACCGAGGTATGGGCAACGCACGGGTGGGGGAAGGAGAAAGTAACCGATATGGTGTTTACACTAATATGTACGTTTTGTCCAATTTTCCGCATTGTACCTACTTGCGCTAATAGGGTAATTCGGGGTCCCGACTATCGGTATTATTAATAATCGGGTGCGTAATGCGGCAACAGATTGTAACAAGGAGATTTCTTTGCTAGTTTTATGATGAAATAATTTGTGGTTGCAGGAGCGTAGTTCGGCGCGGGCGCCGCCGGCGGCAGTAGGCGGCATGAGGCGCGCGGCGCCCGCGCTCACCGTGGCGCTGCTCGCCGCGCTCGCCGCCGCGCCCCGCGCCGACCATCGCGCCGAGCCCCGCGCCGAGCGTCGTGCCGCCCGCGCGCCGCGCTCCGTCATCGAGGTGGAGGGCCCGGTGCCCACTGACACAGGTGTTNATAATTTACTACATAACAATGTGAAATGAGCATGTGACTCCGGCTGAGTTGAATACTTTGATTCATCCCTTGGATGTCGTGAAAGACGAAAATCAAACCTCCACAAGCTGTCTGGTCAGTGCGTGGAGAGCCTGGTAACTTAGGGCCAGTCCATGATGGGTTCCTTCTTATAAATTAGAGAGGATTTTAATCCTACATTAGTCTAAATAAGCTGAAAATGATGATTAAACCATATGCGGACTTCAGCGCCTTCAAGAATTTATCTGCAATATCACAACACACTGGTTTATGGCTCGACCAGCTGCGTAGGAGCAGTTTAATATAATTTAATTATAAGGTATCGTAATTAATTGAGCTCGCGTATTTAATTAACTATTTTTCTGAACCTCTTTCGATATTTTTCTCTTCTCGTGTGCTCATCTACGTAGTAGTTTAAGTAGTAACTGTGATTCGAACTTTATCGTGAGTAGCTAGGTACGAGTAGTTTACCTATGGAACCATGCTTTAATAGATATTTAAGTAAATTTATTTTGATTTGATAAATTATTATTAAGCGTGTATAATATTAATAATAATTAAATATTACCACAAACATTACAATAATTCTATTCGGAAGGTCATTATCAATTCAGGTAGATAACCACGGACTATGTCTTCGTTATACCGTTAACGTGTTGCATGGAATAGCCTACCTTACACTTTTTAGGCACTCGTATAGTGATGACGATGATGTGTGAGTTGTAAAAGTAATGTGTCGGCGCGCAGACGTGCACCCGCTGGACCTGGCGGAGCTGCCGGAGATGGCGGAGGTGCCGGCGTGGCGCGAGCTGTGGTACGGCTCGCTGGACGCGCTGCGCCTGCTGCGCGAGCCCAGCATCAACAACACGCAGGAGGACGTGCTGGCGCAGCTCGGCGCCGTGGCCTTCCTGCACTGCCCCGTGCGCAACCTCGGCGAGCGGGGGGTACGTGTCCATTCTACTTCATTTTTAAACATCATTTTGTGGTTAAACAGACGTGCAATAGGTATGAAATTATGATTTTTTAACTACGTCTTTGATTTTATTTAAGGAAAAGGGGGAAAGAAAAGAATGCCAATAATGATTTCAATCCATGACCAGAAATAAAATTGGTTTCTTCAGATTTCAACTCCTTCAGGAATTTTAACCGCAATATCTCACCACGCTTGTCTATTGCTCGACTCGTAACGTAGGAGTAACACCTATTTTAATTTCATACATAAAAAATGTGAGGCTGTGATTGATCCCAGAGGGTGCGTATAAATAAAAAGCCTTCATGCATGTTTTTATTGATTTACATGTCTCGTACTTAGTTTGCCATGCAAATCTATTAGTGTATAACTGATAAGATAAAACTCAAGATATTTTTTTACAAAATCCAGTACAGCGTATTGAAGTTAAGAGAGTACGTTTTGTGTCAAACCTATTTTTATTTAGTTTGTTATCTATAAGTTAGCTGTGCCTTACAAATAAACAAATAAATGTATAAATAAACTACCTACTATCGGAATTTCACAAATTTTTCTTATGTTTCCGTTTCCAGGTGTCATGGGTGCGGAGGCGGGACTGGCACATCATCAGCTCGGGCGTGCTCATGTACACCAACGACGAGCGCTTCCAGGTGCTGCACAGCGAGGGCTCCGACGACTGGATCCTGCAGATCAAGTACGTGCAGAAGCGCGACAACGGCACCTACGAATGTCAGGTAACTGCTTAATGATTACGATATTACATTACTGTTTCACATTGAACTCATTTTGAATATGGCCAAAAGAATAATACGTCATGAGTAGAGTGAATTGGGCTAACAATGTCTGACGTAGCGTGTTGTTGTGTTTTCAGGTGTCCACGGCGTCGGGCACGCTGTCGCGGCTCGTGCACCTGCACATCGCCGTGCCCGAGGCCTTCATCCTGGGCGCCGACGAGCACCACGTGGACGCCGGCTCCACCATCAACCTCGTCTGCATCATCGAAAAGGTGATCATCAGTTCAGCGTATTGATCGAATCAGAAATGAGGAAATCCGTAAACGAACTAAAGTCGCTGACATAGCCCGACGGATTAGCAAGCTGAAGTGGCAATGGGCAGGGCACATAGTAGGTACGCAGAACTGACGGCCGATGGGGCAGCAAGGTTCTGGAATGGAGGCCGCGTACCGGAAGGCGCAGCGTGTGACGTCCACCTACAAGGTGGACCGACGACATCGTAAAGGTAGCAGGGAAACGCTGGACGCAGGTCGCTACCAATCGATCAACATGGAAAGCATTAGGGGAGGCCTATGTTCAGCAGTGGACGTCCTATGGCTGACATGATGATGATGATGATGATCGTAGCATGAGTGTTGTCAGCTACCTATAATGGGTTGTTTAGTATGATTCTTAACAGTTAATTTGGCGCGTGGCCCATCATGTTTCGCAAAGCACTACATGACATATGGGACATTGACCTACAGACTGTGTGCTAATGGTGCCCTAGTGCTACCACTAACGAAGGCGCTGTTCCCCGCAGAGCCCGGTGCCGCCGCAGTACGTGTTCTGGTACCACAACTCGCGCATGATCAACTACGACGCGGCGCGCGGCGTGACGGTGGTGACGGAGCCGGGGCCCAAGACGCAGTCCACGCTGGCCATCCGCGCCGCCGCGCCGCGCCACTCCGGGAACTACACCTGCTGCGCCGCCAACACCGAGCCCGCGCACATCTACGTCTACGTCTCCGAGGGCAGTCAGTATCGCGCTTCTTTACCGCCACTTCCCGCTCTGAACTCCACCGTACCTTTGAAATGATGATCTGATTTAAAAGACAGTAACAACATCTAATAGATGATGTGTAATACCAACAGGTGACAAAATGGCAGCCACGCTGAGCCGCAACAGGAGCGGGGAGCGGGCGCTGGCCACCGCGCTGCCGCTCGCCGCCGCGCTCGTGCTCGCCGCTGCCGCGCGAATGCACGCTCGCGGTGCCTGCGCGCTCCCGCCGCTAGGGCTCTGAGCGTGGACACAGCTGCGACGAAAACGGACGCTTAGTGGCGATGCTAGTGATTGTTTACGGAGCACACACCATGATCGTGCTCAATAATAAGCGGTTGTTTGAAATAGATATTTGATCAGTTTATTATTTATTTATCAGAAATTTCAATTATATTTTCAAGTAAATAACGCAACACATCGAATTTACTGAAAATACATTTTTATTTACCTTGATAATAACAAAATAACGCATTATTGTTGTTTATTTTCTCGTTACTGTTATAAAATTACACAAAATTTAAATCTTCAGTCCATTGCCTGTAATTTGCATGGATGTAAATTGTCTGTACATACGTATTCTTACTGTAACGAAACGGGGTCTGGTGGAGAGACGTTATAACGTTTGTGTAAATATTCGTGAGTTAATTATCGACAAATCTATTGAAACATTTATAAATAATTATAAAGGTTTTACATTAAGGAATCACAAACCATTGTCATCGATCGTATGTTGTGTAAATAATAACTTCTTTAAGTCGAGGTTGCGCGCCCGCCGCCTGTGTCCCAGCTCAGCCGACCGAGCTCTAAGCTCAGCTTACGCCTCGCGAACTGTACTTAACTACAGCTGACTACAAGCTGCCTCTTATTTAATTAATATTGATCAGTGGTATAATTTGATTTTTGTATTCGTACCCTAAAGCAATATTAAAATGATACGAAAGAATCTGAGACGTGGCACGGTCGACGAGCGCGCTTGTGTTTCTTGTTAATGACTCCTGTCCCTCATGACTTCCACAAATAAAATACAAAACAATTCGAATTAATTAGCGTGTTTTATTCGTGTGCAACGAGTATAAATGCAATTTTCACCTAAAGTGCTTGTCAAATAAGTACTATTATAAATATCACCAAAAACGTTGTTTAATAATCTTAAAACTGTGTATGTAAGTAACGCAACTACCTAATCAAAATTCTTTTCATTAATTAATTATCCTTCAAAACAGAAATACGGTAATTTGTTCTAGCATCTGTTTATTTTCAATCAAGATATAAAATAATAAGTAACTAAATAAAATAAAAGATTTATCTTATATCGATAGGTACTTACGGCACTTACCCCATCACTACGCATAACTTCGCCTTTTGTCCTGAGTACTGTGTGTTTGAAACAAAACCAGTTTAATTGGAGCCGGGTCACGATGTTCGGTACACAGCGCGAGAGACCAACAAATTATTTAATATTTCTTTTAAAAACTACCCGGCTTAAAAATTAATCAATTGGTTTAAAAATTATAATCTTTGTATGAAGTTTATATCATGCCAATGTGGGCATTCGTATTTTTCCTTTTTTCTCACCTACCCGCTTCTGTCTAAATAATTTTACCCGGTATTATTCGCTGCTTCTCATAGTCTACGAACTGACGTGGCTCACTCCGGACGCCGTCGCGCTGCATCGGAGTCACGGCACAAGTCACGGCCTCTTTTTTCTGGAACCTTCTCTCGAAGTCCACGCCAAGTGCAGTGGCTTGGGCTTGGAGGCCTGAACTGTTCAGCCAACGCTGAGAACTGAAATATTTGTGGAGTGTATTTTGTGAAGTGCGCTTTATAATAATAATGTCCTTCATTATATTCCATCTTCGAGGTCAGACAAGATTTGGGAACCGCGGTTCACGCCCCTGAAACTGCTGGTGCTGGTGGATTGCAGAACGGGTGAGTGCGCTGTTTTTGTTTGTAGTTGTAGAATGCAGCAATCTTCCCTTTCTTTATATCTTTTCTGAATCATAAAATTACCACGGCCTATAGTGAATATTACCAGCGTATAAATATTTTTCTCACATAATCACTATAAATAATAAATAAATTAAATGTTATTCTGATGTAAAAACAATAATATTGTAAAGTTGCATCAAAATCAGTTCAGTCGTTTTAACATGATAGAGAACAAACATGACGTTAGCATTAATTTAAACATTCGCATTTATAATATAAGTAGAATCTGTTATTATTTTTATAGTGTTACTGTATGTATTTGTTTAAATAAATAAATTTTGAGAATTTTATAGATAAGTATACAATTCTTTAAAAGCTACTTAAAAATTTAAACTTTAAATCAACATATTTATTTACAAGAAAATATACATTTTGTTAGTTAAGAATATCCAATTTAACCATATTGAGACACAATTTTAATAGATAAACTCAAACAAAATTACATGCTTTGAAGGATATCATACCGGACCAGTGACAAACGAGAACCGCCAGTGCGCGCACGTGCGGGTGCGGGGCGGGGCGCGGCCTGCCTAGCTAGAAATCACTCTGTCGCCCAAACGCTCGCGCGTGCTCCGCACGCGCTCGCGCTTGGGTTAGGTT